TTAGAAATTCTATGACTGAGTCAGAACTAAAGGCTTGGACAGCATTCGTATCTGCAATGCAGAATTTTCTCGGAAATAAAAATCTGAAAATTATATTGAACTTGTAGAAGAATTCCTGCTACAATTAAAAATATGGGCTGCAATATGAGTATAAAACTCCACAGTCAGCTAGAGAGGTTTCCGGAAAATTTAGGTGATAGGACCGAAGAGCAGGGACAGCGTATTCATCAAGACTTACGCGTCATGGAAGAGCGCTATCAGGGTTTCTGGGATACAAATATGATGTCTGACTATTGTTGGTCTCTAATACGTAAAGTCTAGACATCGGAAAAGAGCTTTAAACGAAGTTTTTTAGAACTTAATGATTAATTATTTTTCTTAATAAATACACGCTTTTTCTGTGTAATACCTGCATAGCTGAAACTCAAACTAGAGCTGATAAAAATATTGAAMTTATATTTTTGGAAATAGCATATTCTATGTAGTCAGCAACAGCTAAAATTTCGTCGGCAACAAATGTATTGTAAACTAGTGTAATCGGCGTCGCACAACACACGACAATGGCAAAACATTGAGCATTCAATTTGTAGAAGTAAATATCGAAGTTTACAATACATAGATCGTACCATATTCGCCATTATTGTTTAATTTACATTCAAAACTCATGTGAGCGGTGAGTATTGCAGTTCGGTGAATTCGATCAAATACGTTTGCAAGCACATAACCAAAGAAAGCAACAGGCGGTTATTGGCCTTGAACGAGAAGAAGTCAGCAAGAATCAAATGGGTCGATAAGTGTACTGCAATGAAGCGTTTTATAAGAAATTTACTTTTGCAATTGATGAACGTTTTTGGACTGTTGTGCATCTCGCAGTTCATTTGGAAAAGGCCAAAGAGTGTATTTCAACCCAGATAATACAGTACAGCACATTGTTCTATTAGGAAATGACATGTATAATAAAAATGCCTCGCCGCAGAAAAGGTTATGCAAAACGCAAGGCCAAGTCGAGGATGAACATCCAAGTGTGTTCTCAACTAATGCAATAGRATGAATTTATATAATCCAACCGTAAAACGATGATTTCTTCTACCTTCGGTTGCTATTAATTAATGTACGCGGTTCAACTGGTGTGTGCGACTTTTTCAGAAGCACGATTGCTTCTACCTTCGGTTGCTATTAATTGCGTATTGTGAATGGTACGGTGTGTGCGATTTCCTCAGAAGCATGTCAGCAATTACAATTGCATGATAATAACTGGAATCAAATTCGCACACTTTTCGCGAAGATCACATCGACATATCACTTAATTGTAAACATAAACAAATAGTGCACGAAACCAAAAGTAAAAAAAAAAAAAAAAAACAATAATAAGTGCTGTGCAACGTCACCAGCAAAGCCGTAGACATTCCATAAATGCCTACTTCAGCTTTGTCGAGCCAACAATAAAAACTCCTGGCAATAAAAAAATGTAACGGCGATTATAAGTCATTGCAGCGATCAGTTGAAAAGAAAACGAAGCAAGGACGCAGGTAGACGAAAACAGCAATCGGGCAACTACAGATGCGCTGACAGCAACAAGCCTGGAGGCAAGCATTCGGACAGCGAAAGAACATATTGTGTCCTTGAAAAAAGTTGTATGGATGTGGTAAAATACTTGAAGAGCTCAAAAAGCCTAGTTTTTGTCATAAATAGTATAAAGTCTTCGGTAGACTCTACCTATGTTAAAGAAGCACGGGAAGAAGGTGCTTTAAGTATTAAATCAGTTRTAAATATTTTTAACAGGAACAAGGTCCCACAAAAAATGTCCAGGAGAGAAATGATGAGAAATTCTAACCAACTAAAAAAAAATGAAACACATCCTAAAATATCTGCTCCATCGCAGAATTATGGTTAGGTACCACACAAAAGAAATGGTCCAGTACCATGCACAAACTGTCAAGAGTATGAACACACGAAAACATATTGCACCCGGAATGTCTGTGTGGTGATTTACATCCCACAACAAAATGTACTCCTAATCAAAGAGGATTTAAAGAAAAAATTTAGTAATTGTGGTGGAAATCATACTGCAAACTATAGAGGTTGCCCTGTATATAAAGATTTAAAAGCAAAATTATCTGTCGGAATTCAAGCACGTCGCAATCAAAAGACAAATATGCTTCCTAACGAAAATATTGAAATCACAAAGCCAAGTGTATCAAACATTTTTATCTGGAATACTAACGGTGTTAAACAATATATAGTGGATTTTAATACATTCCTTGATGAAAATAATATAATGCTATCGTCAGAAACTCATCTTACGAATAAAACCAATTTTTTAAACCGGAATTTAGATGCTATGTTACAAACCACCCAGATGGAAAGGAACATGGGGGGACAGCAGTGTTGGTTAGAAAACGATTAAACCAACAAGCATTAGAATCTCATGCTACAGCGCAGTTACAAGCTACAACAATATCTATAAAAAAATCGTTGCGAGGACGAAGTGMCGAGAAAAAGGCTAAAGGGTAATTCCAAGAAAAGGAATTTCAACCTAATTGTCCAAAGAACAAATTTAAGCTGTCAATTTTACTCGACACAGCTAATGAGTTACTCAAGTTTTTTAAGACGTCACCTTCTGAAATTATTTGAATGATAAAAGAACTTAATCCAAAAAAGTCGCCCGGCCATGACAATATTACCCCAAAARTGCCAATTGAGTTACCAAATACTGCTGTCTCTGCTTTCAATGAAATTCTTAGTTTCGGATATTTYCCAATTTCATGGAAAATGTCGCAGAATATCTTGATAGATAAACCTGGGAAAGACTTAACACCGCCGTCTTCATACAGATGAATCAGTCTTTCTAAAATATTTGAAATAATGTTACTATCAAAGATGTCTCCTTTTCGCCACGAAAACAATAATATATAATACCAATGCACCAAGTTGGATTTCATACAAAACATGGAAAAAATATAGCAAGTAAATATTAAGTTGTCAAATATCTCCCTTCCGCCGTTTTGTTTTTTGAATTTCGCGGCTATGTATAAAGYGTTACAGAGCTCGTATTAGGCAATACTATACATCTTTGAAAGGTTTTGACATAACCTGCAAAACGGCGCTATGCATAATTAGTTTGCAAATTGCGTCCAACAGTTATAGACGTGTAAACAAGGAGTTCACTAACGCCGAAATTCGCTCTATATTAAAGATTTCCTTGGTTAAATTCAAATCCGCTAGAGAAACGCTCCGTGTGATTAATGGTGGTTTGGGGGAGTGTACTCTATCACTTCGAACTGCAGAAGAATGGTTTCGACGATTCAGATGATAAGCCAACCGGCGGAAGACCTGTGACGACGAATACCGATCAAATCATGGAAAACATGGAGTTAGACCGCCACCAGGCCAACACCAGACCACACACTTCGTTGATGACTCGTGAAGTGAAGCTACGGGAGCTCGGATGGGAGGTGTTATCGCATCCACCATATAGCCCGGACAAAGCGCCAAGTGATTAAAGTTGAACTCAAAAGAGGATTGTGAAAAGTGGCTGTAAGAGTTCTTCGCAAATAAGGATAGGGGCTTCTACGAGGACGGTATTATGAAGTTGCCGTCTAGATGGAAAGAGATTATTGAACGAAACGGGCATATTTGAATGTTTTAAAATGGCTTTTAAATAAAAACTATAAACTTAGTGTAGACAACAAAGAATTACTGGAACCATCGAGTGTTGTCCAAGGTACAGGCGTAATGAAAATATCCATAAAGATCTTGGTAGAAAGAAGTAGAGAACAGCAGAATGAAATATATAGTATAACTAAACTAAAAGATCACCCAAACCCTTTGAAGAYAAAGAAGAGATATGCGTGCGCACAAAAGAGCAAAGCAAAAAATGCACGTCAACAAACACAAATAAGGTTCGACTTAGAGAAGTACCAATCACAACAGACAGCCTCACTTTTTTCTACTCCATTTGCACTCCTGCTCTCTGAGAGCACTCGTCAACAACTAGGTATAAGGGAACTGTGGGACGGCATTTCAAACTCCTTACGTACAGATGAAACCGAAGCCATTGGTTTTCGGAAAGTGCAAAAGAACAGCTGGTACGACGAGGGTACCGTGGGGGCCGACAGGGGTAATGCTCGAAAATTCTACGAAAAGATGCGGCGACTGATAGCACGTTTCAAGACCGGAGCATACTCTTGAAGGACAGCGCAGTCGCTGTCTTTAATTCTCTGAACTATCGTCGTATAACTCATACAGCTCATCGTTCTTTCCAATACTCGAAGTCGATATTTGCCGTGGTCAATACGCAAAGAACCGTAAAACTTTCGCAGAATTTTTCTTTCGAAAACTCGTAACACTGACTGATCAGATGTCGTCATCGTCCATGCCTTTGCTCCTTATAGCAGTAGTGCGTTTCTGTAACCCATTTCGATCGATGTTCTCGACTCAAATTCTCGATCTGACGTCACTCTCRCTCAATGTGTTTCTGTAAAATAATTACTCGATTCAATCGATAGTCAGCTGAWATGTTCCATTCCATTTCAGTAGGAATGCTCGATTGAATGTGTTTCTGTAACCAAATTGAATGAAATACTGTCGATTGGTTTGCTCACTTCCATTTGACGTGATGACAAAACAATTTTTCGTTAAACTCAAAATGGAATTCGTTGAATTTAAAGCAAATGTAAGTATATTTTTGTTAATATATTATATATGAATAGTTAAAAAAGATTTGATGCATTTTCTTTACAGAGAAGTACGTCGGGGCGTGTTACGAATGGCCAAAAGAGGCAGTTACTGCACTTAATGCAGCAGCACCGCAGCGTTGGAAGGGGCCAATTTATATACCCGAACGCGAGGAAGGAGCACGAAGAGGTTTGGGCTGCCGTTGCTGCTGAATTAAATGCATTGGGAGGATCCCACAAGTCCCCTAATCAGTGGAAAAAGGTAAAACTAAAAYATTCTTTTGTATAACATTACAATTTACATATGTGTGTTGGTTTTTTTAGTGTTGGATAGACTGGAAATCATCAGTCAAGAAGCTGCACAATGCCCACAGAGCGTTCGCCAGACGAGTTGGAAACCTGCCGTTGCAGGACGGTCCAAAACCGTTGGATGCCATGGACCGGGAAATTCTGGAGGTTTTTTTCCAGCGACATGGCGGACAGTGATGGGCTCACTCCCGAAATTGGTTTGTCGGTGGGTAACGTCGTGATTGTGATTATAAATGTGATAATAAAATTGGTGTATATTGCTGACAACTGCTGAAATGGTCGATGTTAAAATTGAGGATGAGGGTGATGCTACTGCCAACATTGGGTTGGACGTAAGTAATATATTGCAAAACTAAAAACTACGCTATTTAGTGATCCGGTCGGAATTCTAGGCAAACGCGGACAGTTTGGACATCTTCGAAGTGAAGGCACTTGAAGAGGTTGCAATGGGTCAGGTGCTTGAGGTTGTGCCAAACAAACAGCAACCCAAACAGCGCACAAACCAAAGCTGTGTGGAAGAGGCGAGCGGTCTCATTGAAAATTACCATGCGCAGCTGAAAGAGATTTTGGAGAGACAACACAAGGAGCACATGGGTGTTTTAAATGGAATTCACGATACACTGAAAGCTCTGCTGGAAACCATGACGGGAGATAACAATTTGCGATAAAATTTGTACGTTCTTTAAATCTCATAAATATTCCTTTTCTTCTAAATATTATATTCATTAGTTGGGGCCAARGCTTTGCGTATGTACACCAATAGCAGTAGCTGCTTCAAACGGGGTTACATAGTCGCGCTCCAATTGTTGTTGCATTGAAATCTATTCCCGGAAGGACAGTGTGAGTGTTCCTCATAATTTTCTGAACACCACTGTATGTGAATAAACTACAAAAGTGGTTTCTTAAAATAGTATTTCGTATAGCTCTTCCTTCGTTTAAAATGTTAAGTAATGAAACATTGTCTCCATGCGGAGAATTTTCAAGTGGCTCAACTTCAGGAAATGGAAAATTATATCTCTTTCAAATATTATGTAACGTACAGCATGCATTAATTATTGATCCTGCAAATGAGGGGTTCACCATTAGGCCACGGTCTTGGGAAAGGCACCCAAATAATTTTTTTAAAACTCTATTTAGGAGTTCCACACAATTTCGAGCTCGTGCGTGAGAATCGTTGTAGCTTTGTTGACTAATACTCTCTACATTTCTGAATGGAGTTATTAGCCACGCCTGCAAGGGATATCCAGAGTCTCCAAGCAACCATCCTGTGGACCCATTGGCAGTGTACTCATTCAGCGTATGGGACTTTAGTGTACTGCTTTCCCATATGTAGACGTCGTGCGTACTTTCCCCATATCTTGCAAAGCACGCCAGGATATTTAAATCAAAGTCGCACACTAGTTGCACATTTTTGGAAAAATATGCTTTTCGATTAATGTAGCAGTGTTATACTGCAAATGTTGGCTTCTTAATTTTGACTTGAGTGCAATCAGTCGCTCCTAAGACGCCAGGAAATCCAGTAACAGTGAAGAACCTGGAAGTGAACATAAACATAAGCCCGCTATAAAATACCATTAATCTTCAAGATTATAATACTTCACTTGCCGTTGCTTCACAATATTCTGCTGCTCTAAGGTAGTTGGAAAAATTATGTAACGTTGCGCCATATGATTTTGCAAAATCTGTGTAATTTGATGCACTATGCGGCTTACCATGGTCTTACTTATAGGGCAAASAAAATCCTGACCTACGTCCCTAAGAAATGATCCTGTAGCATAGTAATGCAGCGCTACACACAACCTAGTGGAGTTTGGAATAAATGTACTTCTTACTGCTGTGTCCATAAAAGGCTCGATTTCCACAAGGTACTGCAGTTCTGCTAAAGCGGAATAAATCAAGAAAACGCGGCTCGGGAATGCTGAATGGATCTGTCGAGTCCCTTAAAGTGCGCCCTTGTATTTGCAACATATTCCTTCTGGCATGCCGTATAGCGAGCGTTATTACCAATACTCATAGCTGAAACACAATCAATTTTTATTTAATTTTACTTTTCTCAATAATAGTTTCTCAAACATGAAGTTSTCAGTCCGATTCGAGAGATATCTTGTCGATTGGCGTTCCATTTCTCTCACTGTTTCATATTTTGTCGACTTATGCTTACAGAAACACTTGTTCTCGATCAATCGACTAATTTGGATCGAATCGAAATGACGTCACTATAATCGAGTATATTGTCGATTCCTTACAGAAACGCACTACAGGACGGTAATAATGAGTGACTTATAGAGTTTGGGTTTTGTTCGTCGAGAGAGGGCTGTGTTGTTCACTTGCCTACTCAGTCCGAAGTAGCACATGTTGTCAACAGTTATTCTGCGATAGATTTCAAGGCTGATATTGTTGCGAGTGCGACGACTATTTGTTTTATGACGGACTCTCGTTTACTACTAGACCGATTTCCTTTACTTCCGTATCTATTCTGGAGAAAGCAGATTTAACGGCGCGTTGAGGCCAATTATATGAATACGGCAGCAACTGTACACTCTTATATCATCATCTATTTAGTTCTGTAGCTCGAATTATTTTCTCCAGCAATACATTGAAGAAGTCGCACGATAGGGAGTCGCCTTGTTCGAAACCTCGTTTTGTTTCGAACGGCTTGAAGACTCCCTTCCCGGTTCTGGCGGAGCTTTTGGTATTGCTCGATACCAACTTCAGACAACGGAAAAAAGGCAAATTCTTTTCGTCCTGTCGAAATAGCTGTCATACAAACTGAACGATCGGAATCAAGTTCTTGCATAGAAAACTTTCATATTAAACAATGTACATATCTTCATAAAAGTTGACAGTTATTTTCTAAGATGATAATTTAATATCGGAAGAAAGTATTCAGATCGGCTCACTATAACATATAGCTGCTATATAAACAGAACGATCGGAATCAAGGGCTTGAATAGAAAACTTTCGCATTTGACGTGGTTGAAATATGACATGGATTAAGCATTTACATAATCTCCGAATAAATTGTTCAGATCAGATTACTATACAAACCGAACAAATAGTTAATAAAAGAAATGCATCTGGGTATTTTAGCTTCGGTACCGACGAAGTTAACGTTTTTTCTTGTTTTGATTACCCAACGTATCGTTGCATAACAGAGGTGGATTGAAATAACGCTGAATAAAAAAGTTAAAAAATTTTAACCGAAAATTATGTGATATCATTCCGGGTATATCTAGACAACAACAGTAGTAAAGCATTTAAAATACATCTGATAACCTGAGAACAACTGTTGTAACAGCCTTACGTAGTAGCAACAATCAGAATAATCTAAATATRTATACAAAAATTACTGCCCTCTTGCTGTAGTTATATGTAATTATTATTATTATGTTTTGTGTGTAATAAAATATTCATATGAAAAATAATTTTTGTATTTATGAATTGTATTGATCTTTAACGTAAAGATAGAAAAAGTATCGTTTGTCCGTCCCTTGGTTGTAAGTTAAATCCGCAACAATTTTCAGCCAAATCAGTTAAACCATTCTTACGATATAAATAGTGTAACACGTCCCTCTTTTATATAAATAGATATTTTAAAGAAAGTAATATGAAAATCATCCGTAATTAAGGAATGTGTGATATGTATAAACTCAACCGAAGAAGCCAATGTGTTGATGTACAAACTTCAACCAGATGATCGCGATTCATTATACCAGTAGTAGTATTAGGCACATAAGGTTTTGTCCAATATCTAGACCAAAGCTACTTGGCTGTCTCCGGATCGAAAAGTCACTGCCGAAAGACACGTCCCCAGTGTTTTAGATGTCCGAACGCTTCGAGATTCTAAAATTTACTCGCACCACTATTTTGTTGCAACCAATATACGCACTCGTCTCTGGCAGGAAAAAACACACATCAACAAACACAAGGAAGATTCGACWTCGAAAAGTTGCAGTCACAACACAGAGCCTAACCATTTTGTTCTCTACTTCCACTCCTTCTCTCTAAGAGCACTCATCAACAACTCAGTATAAGGGAATTGTGGGACGTACAGCTGCAATCGAAATCGTTGGTTTTCGCAAAAAGCAAAAGAACAGCTGGTCACTCATCCGAGGTTTGTTGTTTCCTTTCATTGGGGATGTTTCATTGTCGAGGCTCAATTTATCGATCGTTATGACCCCTTTTTATCCTTATCTTGATGTTTTTTTCGCATAGTTGTAACATTTTGGAATAAACCAAAAGAAGCAAAAAAAAAAAAAGGAAGAAAAAACACACACATACACACATACGAACGCCAAACCCTTTGAGGGAAATAATATTATATTTGATACTCTGATTATGCATCATGCGCTGAGATTGGTGAAAAGATAAACAGAAGCCGAAATATCATTCGGAGTATTGTTCAACGGTTCAAAGGTGCTGCATCTTTCCAAAGCGTAAAACGAACTGTCAAAAAAGTAAAAAATTAAGCGTTGAAGGAAAGGTAACCAAATAAAGGAAAGGATATCCAAGCGAACTAAGGGATTTCTTAGGTAGTGTACTCTTCTCAGATGAAAGTATGTTCAATATGTTTCAATCTGATGGTCGGCAAAGTGTGTGGAGAAAGCCTAACACCAAACTGTATATGGAAAACCTTTCCGCTACTCTAAAACATGGAAGCGGAAGAGCACTTGTATGACAGATCCCACGACAGTCGGGTCTACGTTATCGGAACGGACCCGGCATCGAGGAAAGTATTGCATACAATACTATTGACTGTACGCAAAGATTGGACGGATTTCGGTCCAGGAATGTTGATCAATAACAAACGTAGGTAAAAGCATTCACGTTGCTTTGGATGAACTGTGTATTTGCCATAAATATATTGTGAAATCCTTGGACTGGAATACCTCGTTTTCGTGGTTCCCAATTTTTTTACTGTTTACTCCATATAAATTATTTAGGAAAGTCAGTGTACAATAATGTTTTTGCAAACTGACCAACAACATCCTGTCGATTACAAAGATTGAAAAATTCAGTAAGAGTAGTTTTTGGAGCTGTTAAAGCTTATTGTATAGCAGTCTGTTCTGTGAAGTAAACACGCTGTCTATTTTCAAGGTGCACAGCCAAGTGTATAACGGCTGGATATCTTTCATGTATAGGGAAACTAAAAATGAGCAAAACTGCTTCGTTACTACTAATGTATCGGCCCATTTGGTAACGTGTGATTTCGTCATTGTCGTTAACATTTTCAACAGAAAGTAAAGCTTTATCACTGCCCATATGAACGTACTTACAAATGTACTTAATAAACTTTACCGAACTAGATAATTAAACGTTTATATGTGCTTTGTAAGTTTTACACAGCAATCGTGAATATGGGACCACCCAACGATTATCAATATCTACTCTTACACCATTTGACAGACGCAACTCATATGGTTGACCTCCATTGTCTACGTCTCTACGACGGTGAGATGGGTAACCATCGATATTGGCGATGGTATCAGCTGTACATGGTTTACATATTCAAAGTACCACATGGCCCATGAATCATATTAGTAGTCACAATATCAAATAATTTTTGATCAACATTCGGATCGGGAATTTCCGCTGAAATAATATGGTCGATTTCTTCTGGGCGCACTTTATCTACTAACCAAATCAAAACATGCGCATGTGAGAATCCTCGTTTTTGCCATTCTACAGGATAAAGCCATCAACATGTTTCGCCAAATACCGAGTAATGTGTAATTAAATTTATTAAAGATTTTAWTATTTGTTTGAACACGCGTGCAGTGATATCGTGGTGATACATCGACGTTTGACCTGGCAATAACAAATTTTTAATTTCATCCCAATTTGGATTACATGTAAATGTGATGAAAAGATCTGGTCGACCATACGTACATAAGTCACGGCGTCTTGAATATATTCTTGCATATGGCGCGGGCTACCAGTATATGATGATGGAAGAATATATGCGGTGCCGATGTTGTTAATGTTATTTGTTCCATCTACGTTACCAATAATGGCAACGCAAATGAACGTACTCCTTAGAACGAAGTTTTCCTTGATTAAACTTAAGGTATCGCATTCYCTCACTTTCAATTTTGGCATACATATCGACAACATACTGATGAAATAGCTGTCGGCATTGGAGAATGTTATTATCTTCATTAGCACGAATTATCACCCTTATGCATAACTTTCTTGGTTAGTACATCACCTGTAGTTGGATTACTTTGTTTAATATTTAAATGATATCCATCTTCTCCTTCCCAAAATATCAACGGATACTGCAGTGCATCATAAGAACGATGATTGTCTTGAATTATTTGCAATGTATTATCTCTGCGTTGTATACGTATATCTCGACGCTCAGTTGGATCACCAGCCATAACAACTGAAACTTCATTCACACTTGGAACATTATATGTGCCTGCGTGCTCTCTATTAGGCACTTTGTCCGCTTTAATGACAATGACGTAGTTGTCGTTTTGCAATCTGTTTGAAAGAGACTTGAATAATCGTACTAAATGGTTATTGCTTTGGAAGAACGTTTCCAAAATTTTAACGATTTCTCGTCTATACGATTGTGTGCACCGCGTTTATTACCTTGTTTTTCTCAACTCCAGTGAAGTAAATTTGTAAGAGTTTTGGATCGCCATCAGGCATTGGAAGCAATGAACCTATTTGGTGGTACACTTGACCTTCAATCTTGAATGTAGATTCAAAATAGCGACCATCTTCATTATGAACACTTTTTGTAGCTCCAAAAGAGGTCATTAGGCAGCAAGAATTAAATATACGGATTTTACGCAAAAATAACTTTGATTGAGAAAGGTTCTGGTGGTGTACTTAGTGATGGCAGAGAAATTTTTCCAGATGTGCAACATAAATCGGTCGATTCACCTTTGTATTTAAAACCATGACAATATTGACATTCACTGTCCATACTACCAATCATAATTAACGAATGTGATGAATAGTCTACTTCAGGATCATATTCAAAAGCAAGATGATTGAATGATGCTCGTGTCTATGCTCGACGATTTTGGTTCCACTGTCGTTCATTTGCTCAGCGAGCATCGGACACTCGTTGGCGTGCCTCTCGTTGCCTTAATGTACGAGTATTAGCAAGAAGACGTTGATTGCGTTGCTCTGAATTGTCATTTGCACGTGAGTTTTCTATTTGTTCTCTTACATTGGCATTAGTTGTGCTCTTCTCCTGTTTTGTTCAATCGGTGTTACGGCTCATTTGCTCATTATGAGAACGTGGAGCAATGTTTTTTGCTCTTCCACGAAGATGTGACATTTTTTGTAGAAATAATATATACAATGAATCTATAATGGATATGYACTTCGTAACAGTAACAAATTCCAAAATAAATAGTTTTGAAAAGAAAGTACAAAAAGTAACAAATGTGTTCAGCCGARCTGTCCTTTATGAATCTTCACCCAGGTATGAATCCTCGACAGGAGCTCTTGAAAAGTTTATTTTGTCATTTGCGAAATGCCGTCGGGTAGGTAGCTGATGTAGCGCACGTTTRKAGCTTGAACTCCTTAAATCTTTTGTGTTGAAAATACAAAAAGCATAAAAATACTTTTTTTTACAAATGTATATCTGGGAAAAATAAGAATTAATATTTTTGGACTACTATATAATAATGTTGGCATAAATTTTATAGACCAATTAAAATAATAAATTTTAAATGAGCAATGATATTTTCCCAACCCAATTTGCATAATTTTTCTATAAATTAACAATATTAAACTAAATATTAATTATTTGGAAAAATTTTATTTTGAAAATGTACTTTATTTTTATAATATAACAAAACCGTTTTAATACTCGCTCTTCTAAATTTCATATTACCGAATTGCGCTGTCAAACTGCTGAAGTGACAGCTAATAGCTTACAATATATGGCAAACTAAGTATTTTATAAAAATGAATCAAAAAGCATTTCGTGCGTTAAGAAAGAAATGGTTTTTGGGGTAAAAATACTATTGAATTTGCATCAGTCAAATCAATTGAGTCCAATCGACTGTCAGTGGACTGCATATTAAGAAACGGTTCTCAAGCGTAGAAAGACAAACAAATCGGCTGCCAAGGTTATGGCATCGGTCTTTTGTGATGGTATTCATCCAATGATATAATATAAATGAGTCAGTTTTAATTCTACCATTCCCAATATTTCGCAATTTTATTATTTTTAAGGAATATTAGTATAAAATTGTAGGCATATATGTACTTCATCGTTCCCGTTTAAATATTGAATTGCTCTGTGCAATGCTTCGAAAAGATTTCTGTATATCCCAAATTTTAATATACCTTTTTATCAACACTCACAGTTATGCCGCTTTTTTTTATGCCAGATCTTTTGAAATTTTAAATTGGCTTTCAAGATACCCTCTCCAATAGTTAGCAGGTATAAAAAAATGTTATAGCTACCCATAGATGTATTGAATCACCCAATTTATTACTTAAGAACGAACAACTCTGTCCAAATTATGAAACTTGTCTACAGATGTCGCCTTTTACTTTGGAATCGTTTTGTTTATTACACGTTTGAATATTGGTTACTGCGATGGTAGCGCAATCTATCGGATCCAATGTAAAACATTCCAAAATTAGCAATTAATTACAAATGAAAAATTAATTTAAAAAAGAAAAACATTTTCCAGTGGACCAAATTGTGAATCTAACATCTTCGAATCTCCTTAAACTCACAAACAAAGTTTCATCAAAATCGGTCCAGCCGTTTAGGAGCAGTTCAATTACAAACACGCGGTCAGAAGATTTATATATGTAAAGATATCTTAATATCATATATCCTTATACCGCTAATGATTGCAATTTCATGATGGAGAAATTTACGCAAGGACAATGTTCACAAATTATTCTATTTTCCAATTGCAACTTTTCGTACGCTTTTGTCATGTTATGATCGTGATAATCACCGTGCTCGCTATTCGCCGAATTGTTTAAAATTTCTGGCGTACATTTTCTTTACATAATGCTGAAGTGCAAAGAAAACAAAGAACTGTTCGAAGTAATAAAAATATTACATTGCTGCCATTTACGTAAGTGTTGCTGTAGACCTATTAGTAGATTTCAAGGCATTCTCAAGAATTGGGACTATTTCTAACCACAACCTGGCGGTTGTTTGTGAGAAAGGATTTGGGCTTACATCCGTATAAAATTATTCTTACTCAAGAACTGAAGCCATCGGGCCATCGGACCACCGTAAACGTCGTGAATATGTTTATTTTGCCTGGAGTAACTTGAAAGCGATAACGATTTTTTGAGAAACTGTTGATTCAGGTGTGAAGGGAATCTACAAATTATTCATAAATAACCGTAACATTCTGGTGGAATCATCGGGAAAGTGCTTTTAGGAAGCTTTTTTCAGAAACTAAATTAAACGACATCCGTTATTTTGTTATACGTAAATATATATATGTAAATTCACTGTGTAGATCTGAAATTTTTATTTAGGAACCTTTGTGGAGATCGATATACATATATAATTAGGTGCAGCGCATTTCCAGAGTTAAATTCCATACGCCCAGGTTGATATAAAAATATACATGTATTAAGATGTTATTCGAGTTGTTAACGGTGATTTCTTTCCGATTAGACATATTATTTTGTTATATTTTATGTTTAGCTGTGTAACTTTTTTACTTGTGTCTTAGGGTTTGCATTCAGGGTCATGCCAACAAATTTTGAAAAAGGTGCAGTACGGATTTCTTCATTTTGAATATATAAGAGGATACATCTAACACTTTTGTTAGTATAATAATTCTCGTTTAAGGTTATGCACCATTTCATTGTCAATTCGACTATTTGGTAAATTGATAATGATGCAGGTAGTCTTAATTTATATAACAATCCATGATGACAAATTCTACGCCTGAGATATGTCTATTGTAGAATGTTGAGACGTAAATTTAAATTGATGAATTGGTTTCATACCTACATACGCTTTTCTTCAATTATGTTTTCAAATCTTCTTATAATGACACCTCCAGCTGCGGTAAGCTACCATAAAACCCGACTGAACTAACTATTTTAGCTAATGTCTCTGAAAACCGCTCTTCGCCGCTTTTGGCCCACGATTATGTTGGAGTTTCAGAGGAGAGAATTTCTTATAATTCTTTTTTAAATATTACTTTCCAAAAGAAGTAGTCTGTAACTTGCTTTAGTATAAATTTCCTCATATACCTAGTGTGAAATGTTTTGATTTTTGAATTCTTTTAGTTGTTGAAAARCTTAGTAAAAGTGTTCCTTTATTATGAGGGTATTGTGTTGAAATCATCAATGACTAGTTTTCCGACATGCTAAAATTAGCTTTGTGAATAAATCCGTTTTGATATTATGTTTAGGTTGGTTATACCCTTTTCTGTTACTTATTTTTCCAAGATCGGAGTTATGGTTAATATAGTCTTTGACTATCCCCCTCGTGTTGTTATTTGTGTATTTCAAGCAATATGTTTTGTAGTTTTTGTACATGAGAACAGTCTCGTTAGTAAAATTAGTTTCTATGTTTCAGTAAGCCATTAGCATTCCATGTCATATTTTTATGGCTTTCATTTTACACCCATTTTTTAATTTGCTGCCGCTCAAGCTCAGTAAGACATTCGTAAATAAATATTTTTTGATATTTTACCTTAACAAGCTTGTTTTGAATCTACGAAAGATTCCCTGTAGTTTCATCAACGACTTTCGGTTTTTTTGGATTTTCAGGCCTTTTGGGCATAAGAATAGTGAAAGCACGATTGGTTCTAAATTTACTACATTTTTTCGAAAAATTGCACCGCATCAACGTTTGTGAAATTATGCTTTCCGACTACCAGGATGTCATGTATGTAACGTATTATTACTGGCAACGCATATATACTTACGAAGGAAAAACAAGCGATCAGTCGACCGAATATCGTAGAAAAGATGAGCTGAAGCTACGCCAAAGCAAGTTTGAAATCAATATTATGTTGACAGCTTTTTTCGTTTATTGATCTCGCCAATTCCTTCCGCCCGGCCAAACAAGGCAAGTTATGCGACCGATGATGCATCATTACATACTTCATTGATTCTTCGTGGGTTTTTCGTAAACTTTTCAACCGCTTCAACCACGATATTCGCATGATTTTTCTCCGTGCAACTTCTAACTATTCAGCAAATTCAAACTACCGCTCCGGGGAAAACGTTTTGAATCAATTGAAAACATTAAACGTGAATCGCTACGCGCATTAAAGGATATATATATTATTCGTTTTTCCAAAAACAGATAAACATTTTCATGAAAGTGATTCAAATAACCTCTGTTTCTAATCGGCAAATTTGGAAAAATCCACACAGTCGACCTATGTTTCTTTTGGGGTCACACGAGTAAACCCACGATTCATTACCATATCATAGACGTGTTTCGAAGTACCGCCATCGAATTTTGTTAAGAAATCTCTCGATCAATCGACACGAACTTTTTAAACGTGAACAAATTTTTTTGCAGTCAAATGTATGCTAGCCCCACTAATAGCTTTCGGAAAACAATTGATTTTGAACGTCCTTCGACATCGATTGGATTCACCATACCATCGATAAAGACGGGTTCTTGATGGAGATTAATCGCCAAAAAATTTAAACAAAACGTCCACAAATCAATCGAACAGCACTATATGTTGACCGATTTCCAAAAGAAAATTCAACAAGTTTCTTGAAATAATACTCTGGAGATAAAGCAGAGAAATAAAAATATAATMTAGGAGAGTTACGACGAAAATGACATCAAACACTCTCACCACTTGACAAAAACAACCTTAATACGGCAACAGCTGAATTGAAACGAGTGATCACTCAAGTTAAAAATTAATCAATACACAAACCTTTTTCAGAAAAAAAGATGATTACTGTCTTACCAAATGTTTTATATATTCAACATGTCACGAAGTGGCATTAAAACTTATCCCCTTGTATTACGGATTGAAGTGATTGTGCTAAAACAAATTAGTGTAATTAATTTGCGTTCCCCAGTAATGTTCAACCAGATCACGCAGATTGCCGAGATCAATCTCCATTTGTGAACTTAAAAGCTAAATTACAAGGTTTAATATTTGAAAAGCGGCAGAATTTGATCTAACCACAGCTGAAGTATTAAACAAGTTGCCATACAAAAGTTTGCTAAAGCTCATCCTTCTTTTCAAATCGTTAATTCGTCTGACATATTTTTATGTGGTTGGAAAGTTGCTTAAGTTATAATTTTTTCTAAACGGGGAAAGGATTCTTATATAGTACAATTTCACTACTTTCACATATCTCCAAACTTTTTGAAAAATTAAATACCATCCCAAACACCTATTATCGATCAG